TATATATATATATATATATAAATATAATTTAGCTAAATCGGAGGGGGCCATGTCTGGGTGTTTCCATTGTAAGCGCGATCTGATTGATCAATTTTATTCGTTAATAACTCTGTAAAAAAAAAAAAAAGGTCTGAGCCAAAATTAGAAAAAAAACTTTTTGTTCAAAATTTTATTCTCTTTCACGCCTTGAAATATTAATTAAGAGTTTTGGGACACTCTGTATAATATAAACAAAAAAATTGTTTATAATATCATCTTCTTTCTGATTTCAAAGAGATACAAATAATTTTTCTTTTAAGTGCAATAGAGGAGTGTAATAAAATATTTCATTATTATTAAGTTTCTTATGCAAGTTAGATAATTTTTTATTCACACACACACACACACACACACATATACACACACATATATAAAAGCACATATATATTTATATTAGTTAAAGAAACTATTTCTAATACATGTTTATTAATTTTAGTAAGTAATAGAGATTCATATAAGGAACCAAGCAGTCATGTTGCTACTGAAAGATACTCACCTGTTCGTCGAGCATCAGAAGGATCAGGTGCTCCTGGACCAGGCATCCAAGCGCTTCAACAAGAATATCAACAGTTACAGAGATTAGCATCGCCTTCACATAGTCCTGCAAGTATTCCTGGTTCTCCTGTACACGAAAGAGGTGTAGCAGCAATTACGCAAGGTATTTTTTTTTATAGAACACTGCTAATTTAATATGCATTATTAGAATTTTTTATTGTGGATCTTAATAATTATTCAATAATGCTGATAATTACTAATTTATTTTATAACGAGTTGAGTTGCCAAGCAACAATTTGATTTTGAAAATCGATTTTGTAATAAATTAAGAGAGTTTAGATAATAATATGTAATTTACTTATATGTATATGTCACAGGCAAATGGTCATTTTGGGCCAGTAGCTTTTGGTTAGAGAAATGCTATTTGTCTGATCAAATGACTTTCTCTTCACTGCTTTGTGTTCAAATGCTATTTTTGTAGGCAATATTATTTACCTGAACGCTTTTTAAGATTTGAACGAAGTACGTATATACATTGATGCATTTCAGTATTTAATAAGGTTATTATTTTGATAATTCATTTGTATTTTTTATTTCTGCAAATAAAAATGATCTCTCTTAGTGTAATGATCTCTTAGTGAACCTTGCTTCGCGTAAAAAGTCGCAAATCCATGTTAAATCTCGTTTCACGTTGTAAAGTACTTGCGTGGAGATAGTTATACGCCCATGGATGTAGGAATATAAGAGGACGGAGAACAAAGTCGTAACTTAGGCGAGGGTAGAGTCCTAGATTATCAGAGAAGCGCGACTGGCTTATGGCAGTATCGCAAAAGTATTAGAAAATATTAAAAATGGCGTCGAATGGCCAATCATAAGTTTGATTTATTCGGCAGCCATTTATAATAGCGATAAATCAATCTTATGATTGGCCATTTGCGTGTCCAATCAGGACTCGTAACACCGGTCGCGCTTCTCTGATAATCTAGGACTCTAGGCGAGGGAAGTAAAGCCGAAATACGGGGAGAGATTGGGGGAAATTGGTGCCTAGTTCACTCTTATTGGGTCCCAGTTCTAGGGATACTCGGTCTATTATACATGTGTGTATCACACGGACACGAGAACTTAATATCATTGCGCTTGTGCAGACTAACAGCCAATCAAATGTAGGCACCAGTTTATCTCGTCACATCGTCCCGCACTGGCTTTCCCCTTACAACTCTATGCTCTGTCCCCTTATATTCCTATGTCCATGGTTATGCCCCTCCTACAAAGGGACTCCACCTCAAAAATAACTAACCTAACCTAACCCAAACTATTTTTTGGTGTGGAATGGATCTCGCTTCGCATAAAATGGTGTAAATCCATGTGGAACCTCGCTTCGCGTTGTAAAATATATGCGCGAAGACATACTTCATTGAATTTCATTTGCCTAAAAACGGTTCAGTTAAATAGCATTTGACTAGGAAAAAAGCGTTTTAAAACAAATAAATCAGTGAAAGTCATTTGGTTAGGCAGATAGAATTTGTCTAGCAAAAAGCTACTGGGTCCAAAATGACCATTTGCCTGCGACATATATATTTGAGAATTTTTTATGTGTAAATATACTGGACGGCAAAATTAACGCATAGGTAAATTTATATCAAAATTTTGCATAACTTTAGTAAACAATCGTAACTCCGTGTAAAATGGTCGTATCGAGAAGTTTTTTTTTTCATTTTCAAGGCTGAAGCCTGTACTTAAAGAAGCTTTCGATAGATTTTTAATCTATCTTTTCTCCTATCCGTCATTTTTTGAAAAGTAAAGACATGTTACGTTTCTAAAAAAATTTAACGCACTTTATGGAACGGAATGAATTTTTTTCGCAAATGCCATGACAACTATCGTACAGTTTGGATTTATTAATACAAATTTCAAAAAAAAGCAAACTACGATTTTTTCCGCGGAATTACTGCATGTCAAAGTTATTATTGCACTTTCAGTAAATTATCGCCAATATTAGCATTATCCGATGCGCACCACGGAGAGAGGTGCTGGTCAGATTTAACGCATTGTGCGTGCGTGCGTGCGTGCGCGTGCGCGCGCGCACACAGAGTGCGAAAAAAATAGCACGTTTTGTAACACTTTTTTTAAAACACTAGCTATAACTTTGTCAAAAAAATCGTACAAAAATGATCAAAAAATGGATTTGTTAGGAAATCAATGAGCTTCAAAACTTATAAATTTTTATCGGCCAAGCAACCGACTTCTCTGACCAGCGCAGTAGTTTAAAGAAAAAATTTTTTTCCTATTTTTCTAAGTCTGTCTTCAACGTTCGCCATTTTATAAAGCATTTCTGGAACTCAATTTTGATTTTCTTAGTTATCAAGGGGAATGTCCGAACTTTAAATTGTGCTTAGGTTCATCTCGATCCGATGATTTTTCATATAGTTACCGTTATTAAAAGATATTAAAAATTTGAGCTAAAATTTAGTGGCCCGATTTTTTGCGAATGAGTGTATATTCCATATAACAAATAAAGAATTTTTTGAGACAAGAAATTTATAGTTAATATATTACAATGATTTTTTTCTATTCATCAATAATAGGTCTCAGTGGTTTAACTACAACATCAGTACAGGGTAGTATCGTACATGGTACGCCAGCGCAGCCACCAGCCACACCTTTAGATTTAAGTCCACTTAGGCATCATAGATCACCTGCGACTACTCCTGTGAGTTACTCACCCAGTAATAGTCCAGCATTGGATATGATACAAGAAGAACATCCTGTAGAAATATCAAGGGTATGTAGTACTTTATTAAATATGCAAAGCAGTTTATTTTAACTATTCATTTTAAACATTTAAAAACAGTGCATTTAATAAAAAAAATTTTTAAACAAAGTTACTTTTTATTTCAAGGAGCATTTATGATTACAGTTTACTCCAGATAAAGAAATATTTTTCGAGATTTTAATTCTAATGGAACTGTATCTCTTCTTATATATAAATTAATTCTTGTTGTTTTACATAAAAGTATTAAAGAAAAATTCTTGAAAAGTTAATACTTGCAAAATATTTAATGTTTTTTTTAAATATAAATTTTAATATAAAATATAACATAAAAAATATAAAAATCTAATTATTAATTTTTATTAATTTTTATTAATTATTTTGTGCACAAAATAATTAATAAAAATTAATAAAAATTAATAATTAATAAAAATTAGCAAACGTACAAATTTCCATTTAGAAAAAGAGGAGATCAATTATTGGCGCCACCATGATTAGAACCCCGGAAATGGCGAACTAAAATAGATCGCATGACGAGAGTGAGGCTGGATGCCATATTGAAATTATATACGTAATAATAATAAGTTGCATATTAATTATTTTGTGCACAAAATAATTAATATGCAAACAAAATAAAAATAGATGCAAAAATTAGCAAACGACTAGCAATCGAATGGCGTATTCGAAAATATTGAAATCGTTAATTCGACAGCTGGCTTCACACCGACCGGTCCTGATGTGCACTCTATTTTGACCAACACTGACATCGAAGATGCCGACAGAGAGTTGCGCTACTGTATATACTGTGTCCTGGCTATAACTTTAAAAGCTTAAAAAACTGTATTTTTTCAATTTTCCATGAGTTTTTTTGGTTCCTTTCCTAAGGGATAGAAAAATTCAATGGAAAAATTCACGTATGTTCGTAAAATATGTCATATTTATTTCTTTTCCGTAAAAAAATTGTCTTTATTTAACAGAAGTTGAATAAAATTAATATGTTATATCCCAGATAATTGAGATGATACAAAAGTAGAAAATATGTATAAAAACGTTTAAAAAATGTTTAAAAGATTTAAAATTTAGCTTTATGATATTTTTAGGACTTTTGTGCTATCAAAAATGTTAAACAATAATATATACATATCACATAATAACATACCTTCAAAAAATTACAATAAATACATTTAATTCTTTGCACAGCAAAGATATAACAGATAGATCTGATTTAACCTCCTTTGTTTTTTCGTTTTTAAGATAAATCCTTATCAAGGACAATCATAGTAGAACGTACTTTTTTATATTGTACTTTCTTATAGTGACAATCTCTTTATTGTTAACTTTTTTGTTATCACACTTCTAACTTATACAAAGGACCACGCACTAATCATATGGAAAAGTGGCCCCGGTTAAAACAAAAATAATCTATGCGAAAATGTTCTTTATGAGGTACTGATCAAAAGTCTCAATGGTGTCAACCTTCAACCACCGCTAGTTTTCACACTGTCAGATCATAAAGATTACTTGAAACCACTTTATTTTAGAAAATCATAAAATTACGCTTCCTTGCTCTCTCTCTCTCTCTCTCTCTCTCTCT